TAGAGAAATCTTTTAAGTCCATTGCCCTCCAACCCAGCCTTGCTTATTGGGCTACCATCCTAGTCCTGATTTCATTACAGATAGAAATTCAGTTACACATACCTCTTAACTATATTTTTCAGGTCACAATCTTGTCCCCTGTCTGGGCCATGGCCACCACCAACCTACTTTCTATACTTATTCTGGCCCTCTCACTCCAAGTCAGAGTGACAGCTGTGACAGTCTAGAGACTAAAGAAATTGTCCAGAAGAGTCCAGAATTAGTTCTAGCTCCCAAGGGTGAACCATTAACGCACCTCACTTCTTAGGTGAACATGCAAAATAATAATTATCTATTGGGCATTGATGTACATCCATCACTACCCAAGGCACCTTGAGAGGATCACATGGTGTGTCTCAAGTGACTCACAATCCTTGCCTGCAATCTAAGGTGTCTCAGTGTGGGTTCCAGGACATTGGAGGATATTTCGCACATGCTCGGCCTCTTCCCACTAGTGCCAGTAGCCTTCTTCACCCCCTCAAGTTGTAGGACACAGACAATCTCCAGACTTTTCCAGGTATCCCCTGTGAAAGAAAATGGCCCCTAGTTAAGAGCATTGCTCTTGTCCATGCATTTATTGGTAAATGGGAAACTCCTTCCCCTTCCTGATCACTTCCTCTCTGGATGGCCAGAGGTTGAGGGGTTCACTGAATTTCACTGTGGGTGAGTCCTGACTCCCTGGAACTCTCTCCTCTCTAGGAAAAGAACACTTTCTGGGTTTAAAACATTAATGAGTTGCCATCATGTCCCTCTCTACTTTGAAAGTGTCCCTATCCAGCAGGGTGACAGCTAAAGCTGTTGCCTCTGCCTGCTGTAGAGTACTCCAAGAACTCTGGGGTAGCAGAATAAGGGAAACCAGTATCACATCAACCTGTAATCATTTCCCCTCAGGTGACAGAGGGTGAGGACAGAGGAACTGGGCTGGTTTGCACAAGGTAGATGGGCTAGCAAGCTAGCCTTTGTCACTCTTATCCTCAGGAATGTAACTCCCCATGAACAGCTCTCCCTGGAGCAGAAAGGAAAGGGAACTACCCTTTTGATTCATGGTGGGGCAGGGCGGGGGAGGGGGGCTCATCCTCCGGGCACTACAAAACGAATAAGCAGAATTTTCCATGGCCAACTGTTCTGGCTGCGGGGCTATAGGCAAAAGTGTGGTGTTTGTTGACTTTCGCTTGTGTTATTTTCATTCCAGTTCAGCTGCAGCTGAGTGCGGAAAGCGCGGGCGAAGTGTATATAAAGGGTACAGAGACAGGCCAGTACAGGAACATGGACACGGATGGCCTTTTATACGGCTCAGTAAGTATGAGGCTGACGCCTCCAGACTCAGCCAAGGCTTGAGGTTTCCAGAAGTCTTGTTACATGGAGTGATGCAAATGAAACACCATCAATTAGTCTTTGTTTGTTATTTTTTCCAGTGAGATTCCTACCCTCCACCTTGCTTTATTTTAGGCACAAACATAAAAGAGTTTCTTGTGGTATTCTCTCAAAATACTCCAATTATCATACAGGCAGAGAGGAAACGATGATTGGTACTTTGGTAATTTGTCAGGCACTCATTTCAGAATTCCTAATCCTACGTTATTCATTCAAATCAAAAAAAAAAAAAAAGTTTCTTGAGTTAAGTGAGAACTGTGTGTCTCTTAATGGTCTACCTGTGTGTGGGGTATTATTCTTTTGTTTAAAAAGAAGAAAAGAGAAATATTGAGACAGACATATTGACTATAAGTTTATTATAAGGCCCGGTAGAATGGGGAGACTAAGAAGAGGAACAGGGTAATGGCTGACCGCCATGGCCGGTCGCCCTAGAGAGAAAGAGGGGAAACAGAGAGAGGGGACAGAGAGCAGGAACAGGGGGAGAGAGAGAGAGACAGACAGACAGAGAGAGAAAGAGAGGAGTAAAGGGGCAGGAGCCTATCTTTTAAGGGGTCCTCTGCACCTGCGTGCAGACTTCTTTCCCATGGAACCTTGGGCTGACCAGGGTATTGCCTGAGTGGATTCCACCAGGTAACAGGGGCAGGCCAGCATAATGCCTGAACCTTTCATGGGGAAGCACCTGTGTGTGCAGAAACACCTAAGGGCCAGAGAACAACCTTGGATATCAGTCCTCAGGTGCTGTCGACCTTAGGAAAGAAAAAGACAGGGTCCCTCACTAGCCTGGGACTCGCCAAGTAGACTAGGTTGACTAGCTAGAAAACCCCAGGGTCTCCGTGTCTCCCAATACCCAATGCTAAGACAAACATACACCACCAAGCCTGACTTGATTTTTTTAATGTAGGTACTGGAAACTGCAGTCAGGTTTATTGAGTATGTTCCTTCTCCCATCTCTTAAAGGTTTTTTAAAAATCAAAATCAAACTTAGTTTTAACATTTAGTTAGTAGTTTAATGTTAAAATATTAGATAGTATTAGAATTTGAAGATAATCTCTTCTGTTTCAGGATCACCTAAAACGTTAAAACCAACTTGCCATGCTTTGGATTCAGTGATTCCTTCTGTGTATCTGAGCACTTACAGAATCTTGTGTGTAATTTGTGACCCAATACTTCCCTTTTGGGAAGACGGTACCTACTAAAAAGGCAGGTTTAGTCTGGCATGGCCTTCGTGGTATCAAATTGCCAAACCAGAATAGGCACAAGAAACATGCTGGGTGCAAACACAGTGCAGCTCTCCTACTGCCCACTAGAGGGCAGAAGATGGAATGCTATCATGGGAAAGGACTTCAGGTGATTGGAGTTGGGCAGTGACTGCTGCACAGGAAATGAACTTCAAGGCAGTTCTTCCCATCACCCATCAAATCAGTCAACCAAACGCCGTCTTAGACTCTCAAATGAAGCTTGTGACTAGCCTACTCTAGCAAGTTGTTTGTCCACTGTGATCCTTGTCTATAGCAACAGACAGTTCCTACTCACATGGAACTTGCTCCCCAGCTTCTGGCACCTGGGAGACATGATGCTGGTGACCCCTCTAAGACAATCAGCTTGTGAGCCCCACATACTCACAATGTATTAGAGATTGTGGCAAGGTTTTAGGCTTTTTCCATTTGAAGTTAATTTTGACATTTATTCTAATATTTTACGCTTACAGACAAATGTTGAGGGAGCACTGTCTAAAACCAGTGTTCCCAAGGCTCCAGAAAAAAACCTTCTCCTACATCAACCATGGCCATCATTGTAGCTCACCCAAATAAGACCTTAGCATGTCCTAAGAATCTTTGCATATACCAGATTGACAAAGAAACATTCTACCATAGCTAAAAGCTCTGTCTCATGCTCTGAGCAAATTTTAGGAAATTCATCCATTCTAATTCAGATTTGTGGTATGTGTAGAAAGGATATTTGTATTTTGCAAAATGTAGTTTGAAACACTGTATAACAAAATATTAATATAGTTAGCTACAGGGGTAGTAAGTGGGTAGGTTTATAATACACTAACAGCTTCTGGCATTTTACAAATTTTCCACAATGAGTGCAGGTCACCTGAGTAACTGGGGGAAAGCCTGGAAAACACTAAATATAAAAATAGAAACAACCACAACAATAGGCATGAATCAAGAGCTGAGGAACATGTCCCCTGTACTATGCCAAGTGTATAGTGAGTCCACACAAAGCCTGGCTGGCAGATGCAGTACCTCTGAGATGGCTGGCCACCTAAGCCATGACTCAGCCACTCTGCACATGGGCTGCCCCAGTGAGACCAAGAGCAACAGGGGGGACCAGGACCATCCTCACCTTCATCACTGAACATAGTCCTGACACCCACTGAGGGCCATCATGGGGTGATCCTTCTACAGGATCATGACAACCCACTCGGTCTAAAACCACCTCCTTCCTTCTGTTTCTACAATGTGGCCCAGGACCAGTGTCTGGACCAAGTTCCTCCAGGACAGAGTCATTCAATTAAATACTATATTTATATCCTTTTTTGTTCCAGAAGGATCCACAATGTCTCACCCAGGTGTCATTTCCCTTGACTATAAATGAATAAGAAGCTGGAAACTTCCTGTTGCATAGCTCCTTGCTAATAAAAGCTAACTCTGGGGCCGGGATGTAGCTTAGTGGTAAACTGTTTGCTTAGCAGGAATCTGGCTCCTACCCAAGCAGGAAGAAAAAAGAATCCCGTTTACCCATTCACTAGGTAGCGAGCAGCCATCATCTGCAAAGCTGTGTCTAAGGGGAGATACGAGGCCATAAAGGCTAACAAGATGCCACCTCTATGTTTGGTAGGTCTTATACCCTAATAAAATAAACATGTCCATTTTTAAGGAACAATGAATGATCTGATTTAAAACCATGAGAGAGGAAATCACAACTCAACTGTGGTTGAAGAGAGTCCATAAGGATCATATGACTTGGAAAAAGGCACAGTCCGATACGGCAGGTCATCAAAAGGACAGTGTATATATAGCATAAGAGTTTCCACATAGTTGTCTTAAATTCAAATTGAGTATGTGCATTCCAGAATCTGTCCCAATGGAAATTTGAAACACTGACTTCTTTCCCTTTTAATAGAATTGCAGGTAAAAATATCAGCTAACAGACATTTTCCAAGGAACCACAGTATTGATATGTTTGGGCTATTTCAGTAAGTCTACAGCTGTACTGGGTTCTACTGTGAGGAGGGAACTTTATCCTTCCAATGATCAACTTGCCATAGACATCTTCCATTGTATTACCACAATAGCCAATACTTCAAACCCCACCCTCAAAATAGGACTTTATATTCATTCAACTGACTCCTAATGGTAAAGTCCTAGAAGGGATCATGTATCAAAAATAATACATGTTTTAGGGCTGGAGGAGCTTACCTAGCATGTGGGATTAAGTTCAATTCCCAGTACTGGAAAAAAGAAGAGAGAGGGAAACAAAAAGAGAGGAGTAGAGAGACACAGAGAGAAGGGTGTTTCAGATTTTGATACCTACAATCAAGTAATACTCAGAAAGTTATCCTAACAAATGACTAATATGTTAACTTCACTTTTAAACTACAATCAAGCCATACTCAGAAAGTTATCCTAACAAATGACTAATATGTTAACTTCACTTTTCCTTGGTAGGAATAATGAATATACTTTCATTAGTTTATTGCCCAACAATAACAGCAGATAAGGCGGTGATGCCCACCTTTAATCCCAGCACTCAAGAGGCTGAAGCAGGTAGATATCTGAGTTCAAGGCCAGCCTCGTCTACAAAGCAAGTTCCAGGACAGCCAGGGCTGTAAGACAGGGAAACCCTATCTTTAAAAAAAAAAAAGGCAAATAAATAGACTACAACCTTGATAGATTATGAATCTATATCCATAGAGCCTTATACATACTGCATGTATATGAAGGGACAGGGGAGGGTATTTATGAACTGTTAACAGTTGTCTAGAGGTAGGAACATAGTTTTGTGGTAGAACATTTGCCTGGAACATACAAAGTCCTGCATTTAATCTCTGGCACTGTCCCAACCAACCAATCAACCAACAAATGCCCATAGTTGCCTATGTGGAGGTGACGGGCCTTGTGTTTCTTCCTTTTTAAACTAAAGCTGTGATTTAATTTGATTTTTACTTTATTACATATGTATTACTGGTTGTGGTTCAGGAGGCAGAACAGGGAGAGATGTGTGCCATGGCACAAGTGTAAAGGACAGATGACAACTGGTGGTAGCTGATTCTCTTCTTCCACCACTTGGGTCCTTGGATTCAAACTCAAGTGGTTAGATTTAGTGGCAAGTACTTTTATCTGCTGAGCCATCATCTCGTGGCTCCCTTGTGGTACAATTCATGACCTGGCTAGATGACTCCATGGGTGAAGGAAGTAGCTATCAAGCCTGAAAACTTGAATTTGATCCCCAGGACCCACATGCAGACCTGACTCACACAAACTGTCTTCTGACCCCACACATGAGTGGGTAACGTGAGTGTACTTATGTACATGGGCACACACGCATGCACACACATATATTCACATGTGCACACACTCACACACACGATAAAAAAATGTAGAGTATAACTCTTCTCACAAAGAACAAAAACAACTAAAATAAGTAAGGTTATTTTCTGTTTTTCTAAGTGACCAGGTATGGTGCACAAACCCATGGAAGGCAGGTAGAAGAGGATCAGGAGTTCAAAGCCTGTCTCAAAACAGCAACCGAAATGCACTGAGGCTCCAGTGTGCATCTTTATGTGCAAAGCAAATTTTACACAAGTATTCGTGTTCAGAACAATACTGAGGCAAAAATCATAGCCTTTTAGTGGAAATCACCAGTGCAGAAAGGAATTTGAGATTTTCATGCAGATAGTGAACAAAAGAGGAACCCTATTTCAAACCAGTCACTAACTGTTCTGCCCCGCTTTGGTTTTTATCCTTTTAGCAGACACCAAATGAAGAATGCCTGTTCCTGGAAAGGCTGGAAGAAAACCATTACAACACTTATACATCCAAGAAGCACGCAGAGAAGAACTGGTTTGTGGGCCTCAAGAAAAACGGGAGCTGCAAGCGTGGTCCTCGGACTCACTATGGCCAGAAAGCAATCTTGTTTCTCCCCCTGCCTGTATCTTCTGACTAGAGGGGTCTGTCTGGGTGCTCCCTATTTTGGTTGACCCTAAAATGTTCCCTTGACCATTGGCTGCGCTAACTCCCAGCCCACAGAGCCTGAATTTGTAAGCAGTGCTTCTAAATAGCCAGTTCACTTTTCTGCTGAGCCCTTTCCCTGCCAGCACAGTTTGGAACAGAAGGGCCAAATTGCTTCTATGGGGCCAACTGGCTGGTCAGTCTAGGTCTGGGTTTGGATATCCAGTTGCCTCAGGCCACCTGCTGCAGGCTGGACCTCATGACACAAAGATGGGACCATGTGAAGCATTCAGAGGGGTCTGAGAAGTTGGTCCTTGGTAGTTCCATGCTCTTTCTCCTACTGAGTAAGCCCTGGTTTGAGTACCCCAGGCACCTAGCAAGTCTACCCTTCCCCCTACCAGCACCCCACAAAATATTAGTAAAGCAGCTGATAGTGAGACTGGAGGAATTCCATGATAGAGACAGAAACCCCACCCCCATGCACAAACAGGACTTAAAACCAAAAGGAGTGGTATTTCCATGGACATCTTAGAAGCATGGGATCTCAGCATAGAGTAAGAAAGCAAGGCTCATCCCAGCAGTCATTACCAAGTTACCAAGGAAACACTACAGTCAGGATGAGCCCCGGAAATGGTTTCAGCACAGTGATGTAAGGTCAGGAGAGTGGGTGTAGGAGCAGTGAGAAAGGGAGAGCACTTCGAGCTGTGGCTGCTAGCCTCTAACAAGAAAGACGTTAGACGTTAGGAGAAGGAAAGAAAAAGGGAAGCATGACACGGTGTGCTTGGCCACCAAGAGGCAGGGGCTTTGGAGTCCCTGTATGATGGCCCCCAAATTGTACATCACACAGATCATCTGAGGATTCGGTTTGAATATAAACCCTGATTTGACAGGGCTGGTGTGGGAGTTCTATGTTTTGAAAGGGCTCCCAGGTCCTGCAGATGCTGCTGGCTTCCCCACCAGGTTTTCAAGAGCAGCAAATGTTATTCAAACAAAGGTTGCTTAAACCTCACCCTCTTCTGCCTCCACTGCCTGGATATCCCCGAACATTCAGGCAGTGTCCATGGTAATTAAGCATGGTTTTAAGGCACTTTGGTCCAGTGCCTATAAAATGCCCACTTAGAAGATATAGAAAGCACACTTCAAAAAAAAGTGTTAAACTTCACCAACAGCTTCTCCCAAGAGACCATTTCTGTTACCATTATTTCTCCAAACAGGCCTCCTCTTAAAGTAAACTTGGCCCAAGTGGCCAGCAAATGAGAAACACTATTCATCTCTGGTATATGACACAAATACCACGCCATTTCGATATACTGTGAGATTTTATGCTTCATTCCATTTCATATAGCTTGAAGGAATTAAATGGATTCACATTCAGCCAGAGACTGATAATAACTGCTTAGGAGTTATACACTGCTAAGTTATCTAACACGATACATTTACTCATGAGGCTTTTCTTCTTTGTCTTCTACTGTGCTTTACAAATGGGTATCTAGGGGCTGGTGAGGTGGCTTAGTGCTTCAGAGCGCACACTGCTCCAGCAAAGGATAGGAGTTCAGTTACCACTCACATCCCTATGCTCACACCTGGTTTGGTGCCCCCTTCTGGCCTCCAGGGGTACTGCATGCACATGTACAAATCCACATTCAGACATGCACACAATTTTTTTTTTTCATCTAAAGCAATGATATGGTGGCTGTGGATTAGAACCAATGACAGTGTTCACTTGTTTGATAAAGATCTAAAGGAATTATATTCCCTGGGGTGGAAAAGTCCTTCTAACTATACTGTCATATTTAGGATGGGAGACAGGTGATGAAACGCTGAGAGTTCAAAATGCTAATGGAGGAACTGAACTGAGTTATTTGACAACGTGGTTAATAATAGCGTTCAGCCAGGTGTGGTGGTGCACACCTTTAATCTCAGTACTCAGGAGGATGTCTGTAAGACTGAGTCCAACCTGGTCTACACTGCAATTTCTAGGACAGCCAGGGGTATATAGAGAGACCCTGTCTTTAAAAAAAAAAAAATAGTAATAACCATAACAATGTTCTGCTTTTTTAGAATAAGATGATTCATGACTCTTTTTTTAGTCTATAACTTGGATAATATGATTCTGTTTGTTTAAATAAATCTCAGGCACACTTGAAATGATACAGTATGATTTACCATGTCTTCGTATGACGATTTAAAGATTTGGCCAGTAAAAGTGTACAGAGAAGAAATCTATGACATTTAGAATAGTTATTAGTTTTTATTATATAAACCAAACTCAAGTATAACATTGGCCGAGCAAATTAAAAACCACTGCACATTGATGAGACAGCGTCTGTGACTTCAGAGAATGAAAGCACGGCTGTACATTGTGGCCTTAACAATCAACAAAGGCACCATCTATGTATTTGCTCAATAGATACTGCAGGCCCAGTGTGTGTCAGGCATTGGATAGTGGCCCCTGAGGACCATATCTGTCTAGTATCCTCTCCCTGGGCATATATTTATAAAGAGAGAAGCTGTGGATTCATTTCTTTCAGTCAACTAAAAACCCAGACTACACAGATTCTTACTGAATCAATGAGTCAATAGTACATTTTAGAAGCTCCCGATGGTAGTAACCTCCAACAAAGTGATAGGGGGCAAGCTTAACAAAGTAAACCCAGGACTTTCAATATTAGCCCTTTGTCTGCCTCACAGAGGTGGATTAGTTTCAAATCAGGAAAAGAGCTATCGGATCTTGCAGAAAGGGAGCAGTAAGCCCGTGCCTGTGCTGTTTGGAACATTGACTTGGGAACATTCGGTTGTGCACTCTCTTCCATAAACTAAGTCTCAAAGCCATCTGCTTGTCACGTGCCTCTCACATGCACTCAGTTCCAAGCTGACGGTGACAAGGCCTCCAACACTCCCTACAAAGTATGAGGAGCATATGGGCTTTTGACAGTAACATACCAGAAACGGAGTTGGGTGTTTCCTCCAATGACCAGCAGTGTGTCCATACAAAAAACTAACTGGTACATCAGCTGCCACTGAAGATGAGGCCCTTGCTTTGCACTAAAGGCAGTGAAGCTCAAGTCCTCAGCTCTGCAGAGAACACTGCCTAAAGTAACCACAGTCCCTGGCTGCAGAGCAGGCTCTGATGAAGATGCCTGACACTGTTTACCCTACCCCCCTACTGTATCACACTCTGCAACTTATAGATATTAATAAACGTTTATGTTAATGGGTGCCATGTCTCGGGTTCTGAGTGTCTCTCTGTGGAAGGACATTGGGCATCTCTGAAGTGACATTGGGCATCCCGGAGAGTCAATTGCATCATTTTCTGCAGTTGACACTAAAGGTGAATGAGAAAAGCTAAGGTAGAAACAGTTTCACCTTGTTTGGAAACAAGGCAATATGAGAGATTTTCTAGGTCTCTGGAAAGGGAATAATCTAGAAACTTAAAAGCACTCTTAACAACTCAAGGGAATTTTCTTCCTTGTACCCAGTGAGATCACATAGCCATTGTCAAGTTGACAGGCTTCTGCTTAGGCAAAGATATTATGAACTGGAAAATTAAGGATTTACTCAAAATTTTAGGTCAATGACAAAGGACTTTGTCTTAAGATGTGTTGTGAGAATTAAGAACATGCACTCTGTTGCCTAGCATATCACAGAGTTAATGCTCTCAAGTGCTGTCTCTCTCTTAAATTCTCTCTCTCTCTCTCTCTCTCTCTCTCTCTCTCTCTCTCCATCCCTCCCTCCTTCCTCTCTCTCATGCACATGGACCACCTACAACCATAAATGGGCAAGGCTGGAGTATAGCTGAGTGGAGAGAGCTTCCCCAGCCAGCTCGAGGCCCTGGGTTCAATCCAGCACCACAAAACAAAAAAAACAAAAAAACAGATGGGCAGCCTGCACTCCCTCTGTAATTACAGTCAGTCCTCCTTCTCCTTCTACTGTTGCATCAAGCATGGGCAAGGTGACTCAGTTAATGGTGCTGCTGGGAGGCCTGGCAACCCCAGTTTGATCCTGAGCCTGTGTAAAGGTGGAAGGAGAGAATCCGCTCCACAGGGCTGTCCTCTGACCACCAAAAGTGCATATGGCATGCATGCCCCAGTAATAACAACAATAATAATAGCATTGTAAGTTATCTTAAGTGATACTTTAGAGCTTTTTGGAGGACTCCCACCCCCCACCATTATAACCCAGAACTTGGAAACCCTTACACATACACCAGGCTGAAACACAATTTCACAAAAAGTAGGGGGTACATTGTGTTCTTTCTGTGAACTAAAAGGTCAAGCATAGCCCAATTCCAGACCACAACTTTAATGGGTCACAGCCACAGTTTGAAAAACGCTAGCTTAAAGCAACCATTCTCCTTTCCAAAGATGAAGAGGCGCAATTATGATTCTGCGCTATGACTGTAGTGTTTACAAAGACGTGGTTCATTCTCGAATAAATAGGACAAGGGGACATCCTGTGATACAGGCACCATCTGTTCCAAAGCTTGGTGAGTTCTCTGAGCCATGAGTGATGCAAAATGAACAAAATGATGCGATCCCCAGAGCATCTGCTGTGGCCTCCAAGACAGGTCCTGCACATATCTGCTGTGGGAATCCTGGAAATTCAGGCCTACTTCCTCTTCCTTGAGAATTCTCACTGTTTGGATCTTAAGGTCATCCCCTCCCTGACTCTCACAGTATTTATCTCTCTAATCTTTCTTGGCCCTAGAGTCCTATTTCATTATCATTTCTATGAAATGCGTAAAATGAATGGAGCCAAGGAAAGGTTAAAACCTAGGGCCTTTGAGTATCAGTTTCTGGAAATGATCTCCTCACTTCTTATCTACCTAAAACACACAAAAAATTTGCCAACATGACTCAATAATGAGGCAAACACCACAGCTGCCACAATGTAGCCTGTACATGGAATTTGAAGTTTCCATTTTTGACCAGCCAACTTTTAGAAGGCAACTCTGTTCCTTTTAAATGTTTGAGGGGTGATGAGAGATGAGACTGC